CTGCCTCTCTTTGTCAGGCCCAGTGCAGCAGATCCTATCATGTAGGAGCCGGGAGCATTCTGGGCACAGGCCAGAGCTACTCCCTTTTCATGCACAGGCCTTTAAAACAGCTTGAATTTATTAGGGCTCTTAAGTGGCCCAGGCTAATGGCTCGGCCTGGATAATGTCTTGGTTTAATTGGTTATTGTGCAAGCTGCTTGTTTCTACTGTGGAATCCCCTGTTGCCGCCTTTGGAGCAATCCCTCACAGCTTCTGGAATCTATTCAGCCCTCACTCAGGCTCATGCTGGAAGCTGCCACTGCACTGTGCCATCCCACAGGATTGCTTGGATCCCTAGAAACACTAGACTCCCGGTGTCATTCCTGCTGAGGCTCCCAGGTGTAGACATGCATGTTGTCATGGAGGGTGGGCTAGGGGCACCTCTGTGAATAACTGACTCTGTGAGTACGTTTTCAAGGTAAAGGGAGAGGGATGGAGATAGAACCATGCATGGATTTCCTTCTCGTGTAGCACAGCAAGCTCAGCAGAGCAATAGTGGATTGCCCAGAGTCTGACCCAGCACCTAGGGTGAGTGATGCTACCAGTTGGAAAGACAACTCCTACAGAAGAAGATGATATTTATATTTCTAAAAGCAGAGCCTAGATGGCATTTCTTTTCAAGGTCATAATATTTTTCTTAAGTCTTCCTAAATCTTTTGACCTTAAGTATATTTGGTACTTGTTCTCTCCAAAGATGTGGGGAATAGACTAACCTTTGTGATCCAGAATCAGTGTGTCTAGGAGCTGCTTTAGAGCTGAGCACATGACAGTGTGTTTAGGTATTCACATGTCGGTCTCCCCCACGGACCAGGAGCTGTTGGAGGCTAGACTGAGACTCCCTTGCCTGCATGCTCTAGACCCTAACATGACTCCTACCAGGCCTTGCACCTCTCATTGATGTTAAATGAACATTCCCAGGAAGATAAAAGAAAGGAACACATTTAACTGTAAAGCCACAGTTTATTGATTTTTGTGTCTGCCACTTTTATGTCCTCTTGCATATCTGTACCTCATAAGTATTAGCCAAGATGATTTCATGCAGAAAGAATCCAGAAAATCAGGGTTTTTTTGAAGTACGAGGTACAGTGTCTTTTTAAGTGGAATCTGCAATAGCATATCTGAAATTTTTATACTTAATACTGTAGCAATATGGAACCTAAACCTGATTAGCCTGTCCTGGGGCTGGCTTCTATCGCCTAACACAAAACTCACACATGGGATTTGCTGTACGTGGTAAGTCAACTCTGACTCATGTATGGTGTTAGTTTAGTTTCCAAGGAGTTTTATTTATTGATTGAGGTATCTTTCATTTCTCTTTGAATTTCTGTAATGCTTTGGTTCTCGTCTTCTGCTGTATTTGATGTTTTCTTCAAGTTGAACATTCTGCATATAATGATACCCGTTGATACTTTTTAGGAAAATGTGTTAAATCTAAGTTTGGAAAAGATTCGTTTTACTGAATCATTCACTCCTGGGCTGATTTCTCCCAAGGTCCTAGTGAGAGGACAGCTGCCTACCCGAGCAGTCTCCAGAATGCAATTCACAAACCCTGGCCCATGAACCATTGGAGCAAAAAGGGGCAATATTAGTACTTCTCTGTTGATTTACCTTACCTCACAGTTTTAACTGTATATTTATAATGTAACATATTGACGAACTGATGAATTAATATAGGTCTATAATTTATAAGGAAAATAACATAAAATGCATAGTCAATTTTATGACTGGTAGAGGTATGCAAGCAAGTATGCTTAGAGCCTTCTGCTCTTAGCATAGAGGCAGCTAGATGGGCAGTTTTCTGTCACAGATTTCATGTCCAATTGAAGGGGAGAGAAAAGTCAGGCTTCTCCCAGCTCTGTGCAGCAACTTGATGTCCCTCCTGGTTGAGGGGGAGAGAGAGAGCGCTTAGGAATATGGAGAGTGTGTTCTCTGGCTCCACTGTCACTAAATTTGGTTCTTTGTCACTTTATTGAGTTTGTTCTCTCCAAAAAGGGCTCTCTAAGCCAGGCCAGACTGTCTTCACTAGGGAAAAGCCTTTACCGTGACTTCTGAGTTATGGCTCAAGAAAGCAGGGAATGCGCCTTATTCTTGGCTGACTTCAACTCATACTTTGCACTTAAAATGTGTTGGTATTAGATTGCTTGACTTCAAGGTCATAGCCAATAGGCAGTTAAGGGTTTTTTTTTCAGTGGTCCCCCTGACAAGAAAACCGATGATGCCCTAGTATCCTTTGGCAGTCTTTGTTGATTGTAGGGATAGGGTGTGGATTATACATTGTTGGGTACAATTACCTCCCAGAATACAATGCATCTTCTTTTAGACATCCCAGGGAGATAATTTGGATGTAATGAAGATCTATAGTAATCAGATAATTACTATCGATTGCTCTTTAGACGTCTTGATGAGGTAATTAGGGCATACTGGAAAGAAGCTAGAACTGATTGATTGGCATGACTGTAATCTCAAAGATTTCTAATTATGTTTCTTTTCTTCTAATGGCTTATAAACAAACATCATTTTGGCTTTAGAATTTGTCAGGTGCCAGGTTCACTGGGAACATCAGCTTTCTCTATTATGCTAACTAGACACCAAACATGATCAACATAAGCTCATTATGCTTTCCTGCTGAAGCAGAAGAAACTGCAATTAACCCTCACTTTTCTTCTTCTTCTTCTCGATTTCCACATGGCCAGATTCTTGTCAAGGAATGGGGTGTGCAGTGTTGTGAAGGGCATTCTGGTGGGCCATGGGTAACTCTGAGCTGGGTGGATCTGTGTGGCCTACTGGGGACCCTTGAGACCTGCTAGTGCAGACACAGCAGAGTCAGGGCACAGTGACACAACATATGTGTCAGGGTGGCCGCATGACTGCTCAGTCTCCTGTCACAAGTAATAGCTACTCATCTCATCACCAGCCACAGGAAAGAGCAGGTCAATATTGTCAGGCAGCTGAACCACGCGCTTCTCAACATGAGGGTGCTGTTGCCTCATCACTTCAGTTAGACACTAATTAGAGGACTCCCTGTCGGAGCCCGCATTCCACATTACCCTAGTATTCCCTACGCCATAGGACCGTTAGCAGCTTGCATTGTCCAGGATAGTGGCCTAGTCCCAAGATGATGGAAGGTTACCCCACAAAGCAGCAGCTTGAATGAGCTGTTTGCATCTCATTGATGAGGTTGGTAAGCATTGCACTTACTGGGCCCGTGTGTGGGTTACCATTCATTCGACAAATGCAAAGTACATATGCTTCTGCTGTCAGTCTAGTTTCCTTACTGGAACTTCTACTGTGACCCATCTGATGTACTTTGTACCCTGATAGATTCCCAGTAAATGCAGGAGGTATTCTACTGAACACATGTGTTCTTGAACTCCCTCTTTATTAAAATATCACTGAAAAAAATCATATTTTGACTTTTCATAAAATCCATTGTTTTTCTTGATCCTGTTTTTTTTTTTTTAAAAAAAAAAAAAAAGGACACAAATTATGCATCTTTTGTCACTAAAACCTTTAAGATGTAAGAGCAGTAAAGTTCACGGGGACGGTTTGGTCAGGAAGGGAGAACCCGGATGTTTTGTTCACTGGTAACTTATGGCATGCTGCTGTGTGGATAATTGCAGCTGTTGTTGGAAATGCTTCATTAACTCCCATTAACAAGCTTGAGAAATGGAAGTAGATATAGAATTTGTCTTCTAGTTATATCTTTATACTGTAAGTAAACTATGGAGCAAATTTTTTCATCAGTACAATTCTTTTTTTTAATTAATTAATTAATTTATTATTTATATATGACAGCAGAATGCATTACCATTCTTATTGCACATATAGAACACAATTTTTCATATCTCTGGTTGTATACAATGTATATTCATACCAATTCATGTGTTCATAAATGTACTTTGGATAATAATGATCATCACATTCCACCATCATTTCTAACCCCATGCCCACACCTTTTCCCTCCAACCCCTCTGCCCTATCAAGAGTTCGTCTACTTTCAGGTAAATGGATGGAGTTAGAGAAGATAATGCTAAGTGAAGTTAGCCAATCCCAAAAAAACAAATGTCAAATGTTTTCTTTGCTGTAAGGAGGCTGATTCATCAGCACAATTCTTAAAAAATGAGTTGTTCTTTTAAAACTTTAATCTGAGTAATGTGTAAACTTTAATCTGAGTAATTAGTAAAAAAAACTTGCTAATTTGTATCAAAATTTCTTCAAATAGAACATAAAATAAATATCTTCTATTTACTTTTGATAATTGGTAATTATGCAGAGAATCATTTTAATCGAAATTTTTTTAATTTCTGTACATCAAGAAGAATGAGGGAGGAAAAAGATGTCATGAGAGTAGAAGGTAGACAGGGTAGAAGGAAGAGATGGGAAAAAGGAGTGGGGGGAGAGGAAGGTACTGGCAAATGAAATTGATCCAACTGTCTGTGCATGTGTGACTATGCCACATTGAGACTTACTATTCTACATAATTAATATGCACCAATAAAGAAAACAAGAGCTCAAACTAAACATCTAAAATGCATTCCAAATTTTTGTTGGCTCATTGGTTTTTATCAGTCCAACACATGTTTTAATTATTTTCCCATTTCCCTGAAAGTTAATTGAAGTCTACTTTTTGTATCTACTTATCTATATTTTCTATGTATTTTTCCTTTTATTTATTTAGTTAAATAATCCACTTGCCAGTTGGTAAAGGCAGACTGAACTGCACTTGCTTCCCAGCAATTTGACATAAATTGCAGAAACAGTTTGTTAGTAGGGCCCAATCCCATACAAAATGGCATGGGCCTCAGTGTGAGGGTCAGGGCTATAGAAGTAGCTGCTCGTGCTGTTGCTTAAACCAGGGCTGCTGCTCAGGAGGCGCAAAGATGAAACACACTTTTAATAAAAGGACAGATAAAAGTGAGACAATTATACAATGTGACTTGGTTTGGGGCATGTCATTGCAGGAAGTTTTACAACTTGAGAGACAGATGGGAGGACAGCTTCTGGAGGAACCCAAGGCACTTCATTTTAAAGGAAGTACCCACAATTTGCGCCTATCCATTCATGACGTTGCCCATTCCCTCTGGAAGAGCAAATTGCTGGCTAAATATCAGGTAAGTTCACCATGCTGAACTAAAGGCTTGGAGACAGCTAGAAGAAAAATAACCAAAGTTATGTAGGCATAACCAACCCCCTTTCTTGAAAATGCTTTTATGTTAGTACTTGTTTCATCAAGAGTTTGGGATCTGCTGGGTGCTGTAACACATACCTGTAATCCCATCGGCTTGGGAGGCWGAGGCAGGAGCATTGTAAGTTCAGAGCCAGCCTCAGCAACTTAGCAAGGCACTTAGCAACTCAGCGAGACCCTATCTCTAATAAAATATTAAAAAGTGCTGGGGATGTGGTTCAGTGGTTAAGCACTCCTGGATTCAATCCCCAGTACCAAAAAAAAAAAAAGAGTTTGGGATCATTCAGGATTTTCAGGATTTTCATAAAGTAGCTGATAGGCATATTTGAAGGAATGCTTTTCAAAACAATTATCCTTATAATTATATTACCTTTGTTATATTTTTAATTAATAAGAGCACTTCAATTTTATTTCAATTAATTTTCATAGGGAATTCATTGAGTTAAAACAACTTCAAAGGCACTCATAGGAATAATAGAGGACATCATACCCCTTGAGACACAAATTTGTCTTCAGCCTTGCTAGGACAGTACCCTTACATTGAAAACTTAGAAGGAACCCCAATTTGGGAATTGAAATAGCATGTAAAGTAAAACTTAGTCAGGATTTTATTAAGTCACAGGTATAAAGATATTGGTTCATCTCATTGGAGGTACCTGTGGAAAAATGGCAGGACTCTAGGGTTTTCACCTCCTCCTCTGTCAGTCAGCCTGTGCACTCTGAGACTTGATATCCTGATGGACCACAGATCTCAACCCTGCCCATGAGATGCGGACGCAGTCAGAAAAGCTGTGAATCCACATCTGCACACATACAAATCCAACCAACCCCAGTGTTGCTGCTGATCTGGTGGCTAGTTCCCGAAATAAGTCAATGAATATAACTGTAAGGAYTGGAATTTCCTTTTCTCTCCCTTCTCACTTCCGTATGTCAAGTACTTACACATAGATTAAGAGAAGCAAATCTACTCCTTTGTTAACAAACAGGAGCTTGGGTGAGGGTTGCAGACTTCACCCTTACCCATAGCTCAACCCTGTTAGATGAGGCTTTGACTTCCCATAACATCTCTTCCTTTGCTCACTTTCTTCATTCTTAAAACTCCACAATTCTTCCCTTTCATAAACAATTTCCCTGGTATAATCATAACTGAAAACACTTACTATCCTGCAAACACTCTCTTATGCACTTGGCTTATTTCGGTGAACCTAGCCCGTTCATGACTTAAGTAATCCACTGCCCACTCTTTTACAGATAAGGAAACTGGGGCGTGAAAAGGTTAAGTAACTGGCCTTGAATTATCAAATCAACAAGGGCAGGATGTTGTCAATCATACTGGATTTGGCATCAGAACCTCTGCCCTTAATCACCATGTTCTCCAATTTTTAATGTATCAATCAACTTTGTTGAAACAAKATTCTAAGATGGGTTCTTTAAGGTGCTCAAACTTTTAGAGAATTAATACCTGTTAGACATTTGGTGCTTTTTAGGCCAGGGACTTTTTTGGGGACAGCTAAATGAGTCTACAATTTTCAACTGTAGGGAATTTTGGCTGCCCCCTGTCCTGCRCAGAGGAAGGACAGAGGCATGAAAGAGAACAGTGTCAGCACGTTCTCCTTTGGGCTTTCTTTGCTCTTCTCCGGAATGTCACGGCAGGGATTCCTTTTAATGAGCAATGATGGCGTGTGTAGATTTTATTTTGGGAATTTTTTAAACATAAAAAAATATCATTTACAATGGCTTTATATTTTTGTAAATGAGAGACATGTGGCAGACTGGTCAGGTATGTGGATTCTGAAGGATGACTTCCTGGGATCAAATCTCAACTCTGCCACTTACTAGCTGTGTGACTGTGAATGAATTAYTTGACCTCTCTGGGCCTCAGTTTCTTCATGTGAAAGGGGGACATACTTGCACATAGGGCTATTATGAGGGTTAAGTGAGGTACTCTGTGGAATACTGAGATGAGCACCTGCCTGCCCAGTGTCTAATAGGTACAATTAGTCCCTCATTTGTGATTAACACTTTCATATCCTTTAGGAAATTCCTTTTTACCATATCTGGAGTGGGTCTCAAAGAAACCTCCACTGTACCTTCACTCTGGAAAGATTTAGCCTGAACACAGTGGAGCTGGTTTGCAAACTCTGTGTACGACAGGTGGAAGGAGAAGGGCAGATCTTCCAGCTGAACTGCACCRTGTCAGAGGTAAGAAGCTCCTGTCAATCACACATATTGGGGATGGAAGGGACCCTTGAGGCGGAGTGGGACCAAGAYGTGTCTCACTGTCGTCCCGTTCAGCTTGCCTTGCTGCGCATGTCCAAAGTGAAGACCATCTTCCTTAGCAAACCAGGGGAGGGGGAACACATGGGCCCCAGAAAACTCCATCCTCCTCTCCCCAGCCTGCTGGGGAGTCCTCATCCTTTCTTCCCATGGTCCTCAAAGCTTTCTACAAGTCTCCCTTGCTAAAAGGATAATATTTTCAATTGCATACGGGRAGCAAGATCCATAAAAGTATTCTTTTTCAAGTTTCATTTCTTGTGACATGAATTTAAGCATCCTGTTCTAACTTTTTAAAAACAGATCTGAATTTCAAGTGCAAGGTTTAAGGAGTGTGCACATGTAACTTTCCCCCAAGTGTCCCACGTCCTCCATCTGTCCCTCTTCCCTTTCTGGTTCTTTTTCAGRGACCCCCCCMCACACACACACCTTTGCCCTTATGTCCCATTAAGTGGGAGGAAGAGAGTGAGGCCTCTGCACCCCCATTTCTTTTCCTGCTCTTTCCTCATATTGTAAGGAGAAATCTCTCATAACATCATCCCCCAACTATCAAGAGAGACGTTCTTTTCCCAGGGTAGGGAAGTGTCTCAGAAATAATAGTCCAATCTACATATCTTCCCCCTGTAGCTGTCATTTTTTTTTTTTTTTTGCCTTTCTTTGCTATGATTTTCACACACTTCAGTTGGGCATCTTTATACAAYCATATGATGGCCATAACAATGATCACTGCTATTTAAAACTTCTCTGTAAGGAAAGAGGAGGTGCCCGTGACCTTATCTGTTCCCTTGGATCCAAAGGCGATAGTTTGAAAACTGGTAACCCTTCATGCTGGAGGAACAAAGGAAAAAGAATAAGGGAAGCGGTCAGGAGGCAGCCTCTCAGGGGCCGCTCAGAGATGAGTCCACGCTGYTTGCTGAGCCACAAAGCACGGGACTGTCGTATTTCACATCTTCAGCAGGCCAGTATATGATTTAAAATACTACTTCTCCCTCACTGTCTCATGCATAGTGACGAATGAAGAAATGTCAGCCTGTTGGGCTCGCCTTGCTCCACATGTCCTATTTAAAGACCATCATGCTCAGCCGGCACCCTCCATCCTTCTTTCCCACAGCCTGCCATGGTGCGGTCATCCTTTCCTCCTGTAGTTCCATGAGACTTTTGACTCATAAACAACTTTAGTCACAGACCCCAGTGACATTCATAAGGAATGATCTCGGTGTCAGGGTGCCATGGCAACCGCCGGGCCTTTGGAKGCACAGCCCTATCTCCCAGGCACACTGCACCACCCCTGCTGGCTCTGGAGGGTGTTTTCACTTTCCAGGCCCAGCAGGTCTGCAAAGTTCAATAGCCACCCAGCTCCAGTGACAACAAAGGCTGAGGAATTTGGGAGGGGGGTGAGGAGGTCTGGTCCTTTGATGCTGGCAGGAACATTTGCTATGTGCTGAAAAGGTGGATCAGATGCAGCCATAAATGAAAGAGAGCTGCTCAGCACTCTCCCCTGCTCGGGCCCACCATCTCCTCTCAGAGAAAGAACACTTTTGCATAGTGTGATCACAATTTAAGGACTTTCTTTCTTGTGCCAACATAGAGGAAAGATGATTTCTTTTGCAACCGGGTGTCAGTCAGCTCAGAGGCCAGCCCTGCAGTCTCCTTGGAGGCAATTACCCATGTGAGACAGACAAGAGCATGTAACTGAGGAAGGAAGAAGTGACCAGAGTGGGCATGACTTTGGGGATTAGAGGCACTCTGCTGACTCTCCTTCTGGGTCACCAGTCCCACCATGTGCTTAGCATTTGAATGAGGGTCAGGGAACACAGAGGAGGGTGTGAGATCTTGTACAAAGGTTGGAGCCTGAGGCCCTGAGCTGATGAACAAAGGACTATGGGGAGTCCTGAGACCCAAAAACTATGAGAAGGGATCCAGTGTGACTGAGAAACCATAAACAAATGGAGAAAAGGCYCCAGTTGCAGTTGTTTTCTTCTGAATTCTGTTCCTTCCTAGGGTCACAGGGCAAGGTGGCAGGTGGACTGGTGCTCCAATTCCAATGTCCTACCTCCCAAGAATGAGTGGCCTTGTCTGGAATATGTTGCCCCTCCCCCAAGCACCCCTCCTCCACCACCCAAGGGCACTCCTATAAAGCACATAGGCCTTGGCCTCACTGGCAGATGGATGACCTGTTGCACCYTAGGGAGACCAGCCTGTGGGTGACATACAGCATGAACCTCTCTGGTTCCTGTACCAAAGATTCCTGACTTTCATTATATAGAGATGAAGTTGAAGAATGAAAATGTCTGGAAGTCTGAAAGATTGGGCATGAATAAATACCAAAATGTAAAATATATATATATATTTTAGACAGATGTGGGGTGAATAATAGCCAGAACACCACAAAGGCAATAAATGGTATACAGAAAGAAACTTATAGTTTTTTTTCAGGCCTTTTCTCAGTTTTAGCTATAGACAAAGACCCATTGTAGTAAATTCTCAGGTAGATAGCTCTAGAAGAATATGGGCATTTACCCCTTCTGGCCTCAGTTTCCTAATGCTTAAATCATATAGTAATATATATGTTGGGCATGTTGTAAAAACTAGGTGAGTGGGTGTTAATAAATGCTGTGGACAAAAGTTGACCCAGAGCCCAKGCTTAAGGTATGGCCACCATTCTCACTGTTGTTAGGGGAACCAGTTCTCAGACTAACTCTGCCACCCAAATCTGCAGGATCCTTCATCACCTTAGCTTCAGATTCCCTTTCAGTTTCTACATAGTACCAAGTAATACAAGCAAATTAGCTCCCAAAGAAGATGGCATATGTCCCAAGTTTATTTATCACAGGTTGCTCAGCTCATGTCTCTGGACAATGGAAAAGTAATGTTTTAAGATGTTAGTTATCTAATAACAGCTTTCCAGATAAATTTGTTATATCTTAAAACCTTTGTGAACAGCTGATCCAGAGCACTTTCATATATACAAGAATATTGAAAATGTACAATGTAATATTACTCTGCTATAGCCATTTTATTTAAATCTCTTTTCTAGAACCTGCTTTTCTATAACCTCCTCAAAATTGGGAAAATTTAGTTTTTCTAAGTGATTTTAGAAAGAGAAGCCAGGTGTACTGGCATACAAGTATCATCCTAACTACCTGGGAGGCTGAGGCAGGAGGGTTACCTGGGCCTAGGGAATTCAAGGTCTGGCTGGGGGTTGGGCTCAGTGGTACAGCATATGCTTAGAACGTGTGGGGTCCTGAAATATGTGCCATCACCCATAGCAGCTGTTTGGTTAATGTTGAAAAATCATATGTTTAAGAGAATCATAACATCAGAGACAGATGGTACCAATACCATAAACAATTATTGTAATAAGCATGCCATGAGAGTGATCTCTACTTTTACCTGGAAGTAAAAGAAAAACTAACAGTAAAAGAAATTACTAGATGAAATTTGAATGTAAATGTACATATATTTTTTTTTATCTCCAAGGCTATTGTCAGCCATATGGAAGAGAGACAAGAAATTATGCCCTATAGAGCTTGTTTTGTCTACATAGAAAGAAATATACACAGTAGCCAGGATTAGAGAGCTCAGGATGTTAACGCCTACATAAATGGTGATGGTTCTTTACTCACCAAGAAAAGAGGAGCAACATGAATATGGAAGCAGATTATCCTGAGATCCAGGCCTATTTTTAACTGCCCTTTAACTTCAGGATCTAAAAATGAAAAAAGAATCAACCCACTAGTCACATTTATTTGGAAGAAAGATGAACACACTACTCCATGAGTGGAATTCTATGTCCTATACCAGGAAAAAAAAATATTTTCTCTCATTTCAACAAATATTGAGTGGGTTTCATGTTCAGAACACAATGCTAGGGATCACAGCAGTCCTAATGACAAAAATTCTTTCACCTTCACAAAATTTGAGAAATCAAAGAAGTCACACACAAGTTCAAGAAAATGCACAGGGCAGAATGGGAGAAAAGCAGAAGAACTGTGAAAGGGCCCTAGGAGGCCTCCAAGGAGGAGGATGCCATTTGAGCCATGCTTTGAGGTATATGCCAGACAGAGGTGAGAGGGCACCCATGGAAATAGTGCTAGGAAGAGTGAGTGGTCTATTCTGAGAGTATGAGTCATATAAAGTCAGACTAAGGATGGGGCAACCTGAGAAAGATTGGGGTCAGACTGTGAAATTGTGAAAGATCTTACTCTGTGTTGGACCTAGGCTCTTCACTTTACATGCGCCAACTCTGAGGTCTAATAAGAGCCACTGATACAGGTCATGAAAATATCTGTCGCTGCTTAATGAAGAGTTGGGACTAAACTTTTAAGGAAGGACGAATACCACTTCTTCTCAAATCATTCCACATAATTAACAGGAGGGAACCCTTCCAAACACATTTTATGAGACCAATATCATCCTAATACCAAAATCAAAGACATAGCAAAARGAGAAAACAGACCAATACCCTGATGAACATAGATGCAAAGAAGAAGAAAAAATGAGCCAATAGAATTCAACAACATATCAAAAGAGTCATTCACCATAATCAAATAGGTTTCATTCCCTGGATATAATGACGGTTCAATATATGCAAATCACTAAATATAATATATCACATCAGTAGAATGAAGGATATAAGTCACTCAATCATCTCAACAGATGTAGAAAAAAAACATTTAATAAAATTTAACTTCTCTTCGTGGTACAAATTAAGTGTAGAAGGATCATATCACAACATAATAAAAGCTATAATGACAAACCCACAACAAGCATCACAAAGAATATGGAAAAACCGAAAGCATTTCCTTTGAGATAAGAAGAAGGTAAGAGTGTCTATTCTCACCACTCTTATTCACTATACTCCTAGAAGTTTTAGGCAGAGCAATTTCACAAGAGAAAGAATGAAAAGGGAGGGAGGAAATAAAGTTATCTCTCTTTGCACATTCCTATAGATATAAAATCCTAAAGATTCACTAAAAGACTATTAGAACTGATAAACTCAGTAATGTAGCAGGGTACAAAATAAAAAATCAGGAGCTTTTTGATATATCAATAATGAACTAAGAAAAAAATCAGAAAAAAAGCAATTCCATTCACAAAGCCTCAAAAATAAAATAAATAGGAAAACCAATCTAGGAAGTGAAAGACCTCTACAATGAAAATAATAAAACACTAATGAAAGAAATTGAAGAATTCACAAAAATGAAAAAATTAATATTAATTAAAATGGCCACACTACCCAAAGTGATCTACAGATTCAATGCAATCCCCATCAAACTACCAATTACCTTCTTATGTGAAGAAGGAAAAACAATTTTAAAATTCAAATGGAAACACAAATAGCCAAAGAAATCTTGAATAAAAACAGAAAAGCTGATTCTTCCTTTGGTAGCATATATACTAAAACTGGAACAATACAGAGAAGATTATCGTGGCCTCTGTGCAGTTATGGCACACACATTCATGAAGCATTGCATATTTTCAAAGATACTGAAGTGAATGAAATACCAAATAATTCAAAAGTCTGATGTAAAAATGATCAATGAATTCAAGGGCCATAAGAATAAAGAGCTGGATGAATTAAGGAAGAGAATGAAGTATGTAAAAGAACAATTTCATAAAGAAATATGGATTCTAAAAAATGACCAAGCAAATCTTAGAAATAAAAAGCTCAAAAACTCAAATAAAAATCATGTTTAAAGCCTTATCATGAGTAGCTCAAGCCTAAGAAAGAAGATAATATTGAAGGTAAGGTTGACAAATTATCACATTCAAATGGTAATGAAGAAAAATATAAGAATGAGCAAAACACGCAGGATCTATAGGACATGATTATAAGACAAATGGTGCAAACCATAGGGGTAGACAAAGGAGAGWGATACAGGCTAAAGGTATAGAAAACCTATTTGTGAAATAATAGCAGAAGATTATCACATCTTATATGCACATCAAGGTATACAGAATGCATTTAGGACCCCATAAATGATCAGAAAAAAWCTCTCCATGTCATAATATAGCTAAATTATCAAAAGTACAGAACAAAGAAAGGATTCTGAAATCTGCAAGAGAGAAGTTACAAGTCACTTATAAACTCAACCCATAAGAACAACATAAGATTTCTTAGCAGAAACTCTAAATGTCAGAAGGACATGAAATGATAAATTTCAAGTTCTGAGAGAAACTAACTGCCAAACTAGATTATCCTTCATATAATAACAAGAAATAAAGGCCTTCCAAGATAAGCATAAACAGAAGGAACTCATGACAATTAAATAAGTCTTACAAAGATTCTTAAAAAAATCCTACACACAGAAGAGAAAGCAAGATGAACACAAGCATAGAATATAGGAAAGAATAATTCTCACTAGAAGAGTAAACCAATGATAATTGGTAATGAATCAAGCATTATTAATTCCATAAGCCAACAAACCTTTAAGAAAAACATGAACATAGATTATTCTAAACAGCCAAAAGAAAAACAAGAGAAAATGAAATAATTGGTACATATAGATGGTCTCACTTCTCTAATTAAAAGATATATTCCAGCTGATTGGATTAAAAAGCAAGACCCAAAAATCTGCTACCTGCAAGATATCCACCTCACTGACAAAGACATAAATGAACTGAAATTGAAAATAGAAAATGATGTTTCAAGCAAATGGAATCTGGAAGCAATCAGGRGTAGCTATACTCACAGCCAACAAAACAGATTTCTAGCCAAAGGCAGTCAAAAGAGACAAAGAATATCAGTACATATTAAAAAAGGGAACAGTTCATCAAGAAAATTTAATGATTATAAGTATGTATGGCCCAAATGTCACAAACATAGCTGGACATAAAAGTTACAGAGAGACCCCAAAACAATAAAGAAACACAAATTTAATTATACTATAGATCAACTATACTTAATAGACATCTACATAATAGTCTATCCAAAAGCTATAGAATATACATTCTTTTCATCAGCTGTTGGAACTTTTCCCAAAATATACCATACTTTAGGCCATAAAGCAAATCTCAACACATGAAAGTTAAGATAATTTCTTGCATTTTATCAGACTGTGATGGAATAAAACTAGAAATCAACAGCAAGAGAAACTATACAAACACATAGAGAATGTTCAATATACTTTTGAACAAACATGTCAATGAAGAAATCAGGAGGGAAATTTATAAATTCCTAGAAGAAATAAAATGGAAACAAAACATCTCAGAATATGGGGGTACAGCAAGAACAGCACTAAGAGGGAAGTTTATAGATATAAGCGTTTCCATTAAAAACAAAACAAAACAGACCTCAGATAATGATTTATCTCAAGGTCCTAAAAAAAAGAATAAAGCAACCAAAATCAGTAGAAGAAAGAATAATAAAGATCAGAGCTGAACTGAATGAAATAGAGACAGACTAAAAGAACTCTACAAAAAAAAAAAAAAATCAATGAAACAAAGACTTTGTTCTTTGAAAAGACTGACAGATCCTTAGCTAAACTAATGAAAAGAAAGAGAGAATACTGAAATAAATAAAATTAGAAAAAAAAGATATTACAGCAGCTATCACTGAAATCCAGATGATAATTAGAGACTATTTTAAAAATTATACTACAATAAAATGGAAAATTTCTGGAAGATATAGACAAATTTCTAGACATGTGTAACCTAACAAAATTGAACCAAGAGGATATTAAAGCCTAAGCAGATCAATAATAAGCAATGAGATTAAATCATTTATAAAAAAGTTTTGCAACAAAGCAAAGCCCAGGATTCGACAGGTACACTGTCGACTTTTACAAGACTCTTAAAGAAGAAATAACACCACTGTTCCTCAAGCTATCTTATAATATAGGGAGACAAAACTTTTTTATATTTGTCATATGAAGCCAGTATTACCCTGTCACCAAAACCTGATAAGGATACAACAATAACAACAGAAGAAAACTTCAGACCAACATCCTTGATGGACACAGATGCAAAAATCCAAAATAATATACTTGTAAATCAAATTCAGTGATGCATTAAAAATATCATACACCACAGTCAAGTTAGTTTCATTCCAGGTATGCAAGGATGGATCAACATACAGAAAACAATACATACAAAACAGCACCTAAATAGAACCAAAAACAAAAATCACATGATCATCTCAATAAATGTAAAAAAAAAAAAAAGCCTTTGATAAAATTCAGTATCCCTTTGTGATAAAATTTCTGAAGACACTAGGTATTGAAGGATTATACCTCAACATGATAAAAGTTATATATGACAACCCTATGGCCAACATTACACTAAATTGGGAAACAGTGAAAGCATTTTCTCTAAAATCAGGAATGAGACAAGAGTATCTGCTTTCATCACTTTTATTCATTTTAACATTGTATACAAATGTTAACCAGAGAAATTGGGCAAGAGAAAGAAAAAAAAGTGATATAAATAGGAAGGGAAGAAGTTAAATTATCCCTGTCTGCAGGTGATATGAATCGAAGATTCTACCAAATGACTCTGAGAACTGATAAATTGAGCAATGTAGTATGATACAAAATCAACATACAAAATCCAGTGACTTTTTTATACACCAATAATGAACTCACTGAAAAAGAAATTAGGAAAATAATTCTATTCATAAAGACCTCAAAATAAAATACCCAGGGGAAAAAACCTAACTAGGTGGAAATTATAAAACGCTAAAGAAAGAAATCAAAGAAGATACTAGAAGATGGAAAGACCTCTCATGTCCATGTATAGAAAGATCACACAGAACCCTATTAATGTGTATAATTAGTATTTATTAATAAAAAATTTTATGAGTTGGAACTTATGCAGAAGGAGGGGTATGTAACACTTCTTAATGAGAGAAGAGGAAAAAAGACAGAGAAATAGTGGTGCCCATTGTTGGAGCCCTGCAGGCAGATGTGCAGGATGGATCACAGTAAGCAGTAGGGAGTTTCTGTGGCCAACAGTAATAAGGAGAGTCTCTGGGGACACAAGTCAGAGCTTCAAAAGTCTGACTTCTCTCTTTGCAGACTTTAATCTCCACTGCCACCCAGGGACAATCAGGTGGTGGTATATTAGGGGGTATGGTAGATTTCCCTTGGCCCTATCGTTATTGCCCAGAAAGGAAGAAAACAGGACTCTACACAGGTGATGGCACAATATTATAGGAATAGCATGGGATTCCTCTTTGCTTGCACACCCCCAACCCATCCATACTTCCTGCTATGTCCAATATGAGCACTGGGACTTGGGTTCAGCTATCACAAACATAAATCCTTTAATAAACACTGCCATGCATCCTCAGATCACTCTTCTGGTTACCTTTCTTTAAACTCTGTTCCCCTAGAGGTCAGGAACTCTCTCTCCTGTTCTTCAGAAAGACCTCTGTGCCTGAGGGGAGAAGAGAAACAGGTTGTGATATTCATTCAGGTATTCCAACTCCCATTGGATGCTTCTATGCTTCATACCACAGTCCTTTAAATCCTGGTATGTGCTGGAGCTAACACAAAGGAACCAAGGGAATCTGTTTGCCAAGCTTTGGATTTTGAGGCGAAACACTGTGATTGCAGCCAACACCACTGTGCACAGTATAGCAAAAAAAAAAAAAAAAAAAAATTAATTAGTTTTGCTTCAACAATACCCTACAAGTCCCTGGATGGTCCCTGTGCAGTGGGAATTCACAAAACGAGAAGTCAGCAGCCAATTTGACTAGAAGTCAGATCCCAGAATACAGAGTGCACTGCCAGTTACACTGGGATGCATATAGCTGAGACCCCACCTACCTACCACTGTGCCAGCACTCACATATCTGTAGAGGCCACTAAAGCAGTGTAGAGCAGGTACAGGGGACTCTGGGAAACTGTGGCATTGACCTCCTGGGCTGAGCACTCTGCAGGACATCAGAAACTTCATGATGGCTGAGACTCTGTATGGCTAGTTTATCCTCCAGCAACTAATTATCAAAGGAGTAACCTGCTTTGAGAGAGAGAGAGAGAGAGAGAGAGAGAGAGAGAGAGAGAGAGAGAGAACGAGATATGACATTTAACGTAGATTAAGTAGATTTTCTTTTATTGCTTTAATAGTTCCCAGGCAACATTTGCTTTTGCTTTTCCAACCAACAGAAGTGATCAGAAAATGATTAGAATTTCTCTTGCAGATGAAATTCCGATTTTTGCATTTGTGCTGTTTTATGAGCTGAAACTATTTTAAGAGCCAATTTATAGTTTTCTCTGCTAAAATTAGATTTTTTTTTAAAAAAAAAGGATGTGCAGCAATTGGAGGATGCCTGCCGTTAGCAGCTCGCCCTAAGGCAATATACTGTGTTTATCATTTTCTATAAAAAAGTTTGTCTTAATTTAATATCGTTTAGACTCGTTCCATTTTACCCAGCAAGAAAAGAAAGAAGCAAACCACCTTCTKCAGGGTCAGAGAAAGAGTTTACTCAGGCACTGGTCCAGGGCATTCCCTTCAGGGTCAGATGGTTTCCAGTAGCTCTCTAATCTCAAATCTGTTCATTCTCAAAAGAACTGCCCTTTTGAACATTTTCCCTTCTTGAAATTTCAACCTTTAGGATTATTGATATTCCCTCTCTTCTCTCCTCCTAGAGAATCCCATTACAAAAACCATGATTGAATCACAACAGAGCTTTTCATCTACCTAATCCTTACCATAGATCTAGGAGGCAAGGCTATGCAAACTAGCTCAAAATGTACTTCTGTCCACCTCCAGGCCAAGTTACCTACAGCGAGGCATAACTTTCAGGTCTGTAAGAAGCCATTCTTACTGAGGAGAATAACAGCACCCATTCTCTTCTTATCACTCAAAGCAAGGCATATTATGCTCATGAGTTCAATAGGGATTGCTTTTGTCCACAAATAATGCTGTGCTGTTCCTACAGGAACCTACTGGCATAGATTTGCCCTTGCTGGATCCTGCCAGCACCATCACCACCGTCACAGGGCCGAGTGCTTTCAGCATCCCTCTTCCCATCAGGCAGAAGCTCTGCAGCAGCCTGGATGCCCCACAGACAAGAGGCCATGACTGGAGGATGCTGGCTCATAAGCTAAATCTGGACAGGTAGGTGTGGCCAGGCTCCAAGACTGGTTTCTTTCTGTTMTTTTCTGTTAGACACAAGTCTCCAGGACTGATAACTGTTAGACATAGCRCAGCATTCATTTTTTTTCCCACCCATACATCTATTTACTTTTTCATTCTGCAAACCTGTATTAAGCTGCTTCTTTACATCTCACAACACAGACTTACAATCCTAATTCACAGAGATATTCTTGGTTTGTTTGACATTTGTAAGCGTGGGGTTTTGTGACCTACTTTGCCAAGTTGATAGGCTAAATGCTCCTAGATATTATATCCRTTCACTAAATTATTGTTCCTTATCTCCAGTGGAGCAGGACCTAATGCTTGGTGAATAATTATCATGCCAACATAGCATTGATRTTAAGTTATAATGAGACCTCAGGAACCTCCGCTTGGTAGAATGTTGCCATCACCACCGGGCAAAGGATGTGGCATGACCTGTCAAAGATCCTGGGCTGGAAAGAAAACATAAGTCTCTTGATTTCCTGTTTAGGATATGACCCATAGACATCTCGTCTCTTAAATTATCTTACTCAAGAGTTGAGGTTAACAAAGTTAAACATCACGTCTCCTGTCTGGAGCTGATCTAATTAAGTATGGGCTAGTCRTTTAGGATGGCTCACTGTAAACCACAGTGGGGCCGAGATATTTCAAGACAGATGGAGAGACAGAAAAGTTCCGCCCTGTAACAACAGAAGAGAAAATAGATCCATAAATCTTGCCTTTCAGCACGTTTTCCCGTTCCCAATTACAGGTACTTGAATTACTTTGCCACCAAATCAAGCCCCACTGGTGTAATCCTGGATCTCTGGGAGGCACAGAACTTCCCAGATGGAAACCTGAGCATGCTGGCAGCTGTCTTGGAAGAAATGGGAAGACATGAAACCGTAGTGTCTTTAGCAGCAGAAGGGCAGTATTGACCACACTGGAAATGAAGATGAAGGAGGAAAATGCACAGGGAGTCTGTGGCCGTCCAGGGAAAACACAGCTGAGGAGGAAATCCAAACTAGACCAATGAGCTTCACAGGCAAGATGGCAGCAGGAGAGAGAAGGAGAACAGATACGACTACCAATGTACATGCCCACTTGACTTGGACAGTATCACAGGAGTTAAGAAAAATCGTGTAAATGTGTACCTTGAATTTAGAAGTCAACCTAATTTTCCTCTTAGTTGGGCTGTATGCTGTATGGTACAGGATCTTACAGTTTCCTAGGAAACGCTTTTTATTGCTATCCAGATATATGGATAAACTTTCTTAACAAACCCAATTTCTACAAATGTTGTTTACATCAAATTGGACAGGGATGCAGACACTGTCCATGGCGCATTCTATTTTTGTTCAAAATCATTTGAAGTTGAAGCTGTGGACGGTTTGTTGTGTCTATTTCAGATTAGTAATTTACAAAGAAGTCAGACTTTTGCTACAAATCTCGTACATCCAGTGTCTCAGATAATCCTCCCAATCAATGTTCTGTTTCTAGAACTTGTAGAACCAGTGTTACTGTTTGTATCAGGGAAGGGGAGAATCTCAATGGAAAGGAGAAATGACTTAAGATTCCTTATGCCTTGGGTGCACCTGCCTGGTGCGCTTTTTAGGAGTAAAGCTGTAGCATTGCAGGGAAGATAGTGATTCATGTTCAAATGCTCAAAACATTTCTTCTTGGCGTGTTTGAAATATGAAATTTAAAGATTTTTTTTAAAARGGTATCATTATTATTATTGATGAGTATCTGCAAGTATTTTAGTAAAAGGGTCTTCTTTTAACTTCTGTTTTTGTTAGCGGTACTGTTAGTATTTGGTATTGACWAGACCTGCCTCACTTCCTCACATAAGAGGTGGGTGTGGTGACCAGCTTAGTCCAACAGGCATTGCTTCCTTGACCTTTGACCCTCTTCTACCATTCTACCCTGGAAAGGTAGAAAGCATTCACTGGCTTATCAATCAGTTCTTTCAGCTTGCTCAGACAGGGTCTTTCTCCTTTGCGTCTTACTATGAGAAGTGTTCCCCCTGAATTTCACTTAGTAGTGTAGTTGTGTGGTGCCACGTTGACTCTCCATAGTACTCTGTCTGCCTTAGGGGCAGTGTGGTTGGGGAAATAGCTAGAAATCAGAAAACCAATTCTGTCTAGCTGAACTGCCTTGGGGAAGGCATTAAAACTCATTGGATTTCAGCTTCCTTACCTGTAACATAAGGGATGGGACTAGATCACCTTCAAGGTTCAACAATGCTGGACTTCCATTGTTAGGCCTCCAGTCTCATTCATCAGTCTGAAGTTGATAACAGACTCTGACCTGGATCATTCAGTCAGCTAGCCTTCCCCCCCCACACTACATTATGCCTTTCAAATCATTTTGACTTGGCAGAGAATTATTCTAACCTGCAATATATTTGTTCAGCTTTAAAGTCCTTTCTTTATATCCTTGCATTATGCTGCTCAAAGAGAGACAGCATCCCTTTAGTATCATGTTCTTCTCCTCTCATGGGACCCCTAGCTTTCTTGCCTTCCTGACTAGTGGTAAATTCTKCTTTGTTATTGTTTTGTTCTCTTAATATCAAAATCATTCCTACAAGTTCTTCCTGCAGTAGGAACTTGATGTGTTTTATTCCCCACAGTCTTTTACAAAGGCTGCTTAATTAGCCCCCCCCTTTTTTTACCTGTAAAATGTTATTCAACAAACTACTTTGTGTCAATAAGGAAGTTTCCTTGGGACCATCACAGGCTCTTCGTTTAATAYAGTGAATCTATTCATTCAGCTGGTGGGGAACAAAGTCAAAGCCAGAAGCCAAACCAAGACTGAGTGTGCTCAAATAAGAACATTCTAAACATGACTGTGGTTTACTTTAAGGCTGGAGGTATCCAAGATGCTGGCTGGATTTGAATTAGAAATCATTTTATACATTTTATCCCATCTTACAACATGTATTTCCTCTCCCATTTTGGATACCTCTTGATATTCTCAGATTTCTCCAGCCCCATGATTGAGGAACAGTTGGTACCTAGTTATGGAGCCTCTTTCGTGCTATTTATCTTTTGTTTTAGATACATATTGTATAATCTCTCTCTAGCCAACCTGTGCATTCAAATTTCCACATATAAAAATATTTGTTCCACTGATCAGGAAGAGGGAGATTGCACTAGTACACAAGTTCAGTGGATAAATGACTGTACCAATGAGATTTTACTAAATTAAAAAATTTAGATATTTTTAAAAAGAGCAGGAGTTATTGTCCATGGCTGCATCTTAAAATAAACTTGTCAAGATTGTTCTTTAGTACTGGTGTTGCAGAATCATCTATAGAAACCAAGAAATCTGACCTGGATATTCAAAGGAACTTTTGTGCCTCATAAAAATAGAGGGGAGGAAATATRTAGCTATACATATGAAATCAATCCCAAAACTTTTGCTGAAAATTTTTGATTAAAAAAAAAAATCAACAAACAGTGAGCAAGCAGGAATGGTGTTGTCAAAGCCATTGAAGGCCCTTAGGGTTCACTTCAGACGCTTGCTTTTTGGTCCTACCCYTCACCACTAGAAGAGGGAAGAATGATTGACTCCTTGCGAGTTACTCATCTATCACAGAGCTCATGTTTCCTATCAGATGAAGAACAACTTCCTTCCAAACAACACACCATATGTCAATTTTCACTAAGAATTCTGCTTTCCTTCTCTTTGGGAGTGAAGTAATAGCTGTTAGATTGCTTTCCAACTTAGAAGGTCTGGACAGAACAGTTCATTTCATAGGGAGCCACTTCATCAGCCATCCAATGTGCCACATCCTGCTTACACAGTTTGGGGAAGGCCGGCTTCCTTCATTTGGATGGAGGGAGAGAACTATCATTTGTGCATGGTGCCATCTAGTGGTGTGGAATGCAATCTGCCCTGAGTTTAATATAAGTTGTTTGACAAAGGGAATGTGTACCTGTACAACTCAACAGGACCTTTTTAACAAATAGATGTGGGGATATTATCACTTCGAATGTGTAATTTTCTTATTCTCACAGTTTCACTTCAATCATCCATCTCAAAATTACATGTCGTTATGAGCCTAGTACATCATCAAGTCATTCATACGCATCATTATTTGCTTTCTTGTAACAGAAATACATAAAATCTGTATAAAAGTCTTTGGAAGTTGTCATTTTTAACATTTATGGTTTTAACTGGGCTTTGTATATTTTAAATCTCCTCTCCTAATATTTATCTTTGGAAATGTAAGAGTATCTGCTTAGAAAGAAATAAGTCTTATATATGCAAATAGGAACACTATGTCTAAAGGAAGAGAAATTGTGACTGTTGATGGAGAAGAAGCCTTTCTTCTGAATTTGGGATTTTAATGGCAGAGGTTTCATCCTGGTTTTATTTTCTTTTCACAACCCTAATTCAGATTTTCTTAAAGTGATCTGGAAGGAATAAAGTTGGATTCAATATTGGCAACTGGGCAGACCATGATGCGAGTATGTGTGACACCAAAGAACACACAGCTAACAGCCTTTCATGGACATCTTCCAAAATGGACACTCCCCTGTGATGCCGGAACCCCCTTCTTACATGAGTGGTCCAAGCTCTTGGAGGGCAGAGCACTGTGGGGTGAAGTGCCCAACACTAAAATGCATCATCATTAGCCCATCTTCATATTCGACCATCAAAGAACAGAGCCATTCTTTAGGGAAAAGTCATGGGGCCTGAGTTTAGGACACTCTGGAAACCAGGCATGAAGTAAAGGGTCTTTAAGGGCCTTTTCCTWTAAGTGAGGTATATTTATAACCCATCATTCAAAGGGTAGGTAGACTCTAGACTTTTCTTCTGGAGAAGAGAAAACCAGGCTCTTGCCCTGAGTTTCTTCTTTTGTGTCTCTGTCAGGGACACAGCAGCTGTGCTCCTGGGTCATTCATGCTCTGTAATCCACACAAGAAGTGGGGAGCTGGGGAGATGCTCACATCTCCCCAGAATCCACAGGCYTTTGCTTCTAGAAGGCCTGGCCCCAGGACCAAACAGAAACCTGTGTAAGAACCTCCAAGAGTGGATAATGACGGTGGAAAGGTTTACTTGTTGAGTCTCAGTCTTCAAGCTGAATGTGAGTTTCAGCTTTTCATAAGCAGTTGTTCTGGACAGGGCACAAGTTTCATATGGAGACCTCAGTGCAAGTYCAAGGCCAATGAATGAAGGGAGTGCTGCAGAAACAGCTGAACTGAAATCAGGCTCCAGCCATCTTCTTTGAGAACAGAGAAGCCTTTGTAAATCAGAAATGCCATTGCTCAAAACCAATTATTTGTAAAGATGACCGTGGCCAATGACCATTAGATTTTATAGATCCAATAAGGAATATTTTTATTATTATCTCAAGCTAATAATTTTTTTAGCCTTTCGAGTGCCTCATAGGACCAACTATTATACTTTGTTTTTGTATTATTTTTATATTTTTTAAATGTACTAAGCTGATGTGACTGAAATCCTTAGAACTTTTCCTCTGTGCAATGAAATACTGTTTCTCTACCCTAAGAGATCTATTTGTATAATCTCTGGCTTTAATGATCACTTTGAAAGATTTCCTTTGCATCCCTAATGATTTTTTAATGAAATAAGGAATATGGGGAATAAGTATATTGTAACCAATGTTGATTTAAGCTTGTGTCCATGTAGGATAAGTAAGCCAAATGAAGTCATAATTATTTCCAAAATTCTGGCCTGAAAACCTATTTTTGAAAAGTGGGGAGATACTCGTGTATGTCATGGGTGGATTTTCTCTACAGACTAGGTCTAACAGTGAACTTCCCTCCTGGTTCTTTCATCTCACTGGCCATGTGGCTGTTCACGTTTCACTGTTGTCAGAAGAGTTCATGGCTCCTAGGTTTTCCAGTGGGCTTGGCCACTGCCTGTATTGATCTGTGGTGGGACATTAATGGGCTCGTTCAACCAAGTGTATTGTATGCCTCAGGCATGTTTTAGTGTGGTTGGGGAGGCATTACCAGGACAAACCCACAGGGCTCCACAAATGTATGAGCGCACAAAACCAAGCAATTCTCAGGGGCTGTTCCCCAGTCCTYGGCGTATTCACACACTTGCATACTCAAACCGATCTTTCCAGAAATTCTCAGAATGCTAAACTGGAAATCCCTGTAGAACATCATAGCAGTTAAGGCCCCACCAGTTGAATAGAAAACAAGGAAGCTGCCCCGAGGTAAAATCAGCTGCCCAACAGCCATTGTGTTACCCTACAACAGCAGCATTTTATCATACCACTTCAAATTTGTGCTTTAGCAAGGTTATCAAGTGCAGGTCAGAACACTTCAGGCTCCCTTACAAATMAGTCTAAATCATGGGTCATCCTTGAGGCCTACTGGAGGAGGCACTATCARGCCTGCTGTGGAGCCGGATGCCACTAACAGGGGTGGAGCACTCCCCACTCCCCGTTGTGGATTTTGGAACCTGAACTGTGTGCAGCTTTTACTGATCTGTACACTAGAGGTTGATCAGCTCTTGGCCTTGGATCCTCAGCACTATGGTAAGGCAACATCAAAAATCATGGCTTGAGTGTGTTCTAGGTGTTAAAGCAAGCCTTGTTTTAAAATAGCATAAAAACTCTACAGCCAGAGGAAATGCCTTTGCCCTTTTATGTTCCTAAAGTCCTCAACAACATCTGTAAATGTAGGGATGTGACCTCAGTTGTATAGTCCTCCAGGCCTTGGGAAAGGAAAAAAAAGAGCAAGAATCAGGACGAGTTCATCAGGTGACTTGCCTTCTTCAGTCTTACCTAGACCTGCTGTCGACAGTGAAGCCCTCGCCCAGACAGAAGGCATTGGGCCCAGATGCAGGGAATATCATCACTGTGTGTGTGTGGGATGTCACAGTGTCGTCTGTGTTGAATGTTGAGCTGTAGCATGGTGACTTCCTCTTTGCTCTTTCTAAAGATGACAACCAGGGTTTGTCAGAGAACAACTGGCAGCGGTCTGAGTGGGAGCGGCTGGCTCGTCCTCCTGTTGTCTTCTTTGGAACAGTTCAACCGCAGAAATGTCAGATTGAGGTTTTGTGCTTTGTCATTTTTTCTTTTTAAAGCAAAACAACACAACCTTGGCTTCTCAGATATGGAACACCTCTTTTGTTGTTGTGAAGTTCCCTCTTGCTGTATCTTCTATGCAATTCCTTTTCTAAAAAAAAAAAATTCCCTGGTGACAGAGGAGAGCTCTCTGGGCACTCTGTCTGTCGCCCTGCTGTGTGGCAGAGGTGAGGGACACCAGCTCTGGGTGTGCCTCTTTCCTCTCTCTTACTGCCGCTCCTGACTTTTCCTGCAGTCCCCTTGGTTTGTAAATTGCCTGCATTTATTCCATCAGCCAACATGTACAAAATGTAAGAAAGAATTTTTAAACAGGTAATAAATTATATTTATAAGCAACAGAGTRCCTGCCTCCCTGGTTTCTTCATGACAAAGCATCATTATGTATCTTTGGTAGGACCCAAGACCTCTGGATCCTGTGTGGATGGTAGTCACAACCTCCCTCAGTCACAGGATGACATTCTAAGACAGTGCTTCTTCAACATTGCTGTACACAGGCATCACCCCAGACTCAGAAACTAATGCCCAGACCCTACCTCAAGAGATTCTAGTGTAATCAGTCTGGCTGCAGCCTGGGCACTGAGTTTGGAAAGTTCCCAGGTGATGCCAGTGAGCACTTGAGAATGAGAATGAGTGTCTTAGACCATCTGTGTCAAAATTTTCCTGGAGAACTTGCCAGTGGTGTCAGGTCCTACCCTCAGAGATCTGATTATAAATGGAGTTTATACACAATGACACTAACGGGAAATGAAAGGTTAACAGAAACTCCATGACATGGCTAAGAGCTGGAGCAAAATACCAGCAAAGGTGTTCAACTGGGAACAGATCTCCTAGTTGTTCCCTTAGGGAGCCAGCAGAAAGCTCCAGGAGAGAGGTGAAAAGCAGCTAGGAGACTGAGGAGTGGGAGCAATGGTCCCGCTTTCCTCCCTGGGAGAACTACTTCAAGAAGGGTCCTCAGCCTGGTTAGCCAGYGTAGGCAGCTGCAGCAGGGCTGGGCAACTCTCATCCATGGGCCTCAGGACAGCGACTTACCATGGATTCAGTGGTGGCATCACAAATGTTTGTTCAGGGCCAAGGAAATAATGAAACTATGTAAACTGGAACCTAGGTAGAATCAATGAAGGCCTGTGGCTGGAAGCATAAAAATTCAATTAAAAAGCAAACAAAAATTGTACAAAGAAAACACTTGGTAGCACCGTCTCAGCCCATTTTTGACCTCTCCTCTGGAGCTTCAGCAGCTGGGAATCCCGCTGAGAAAGCTGCTGCTCCCAGGAAAGCACACAAAGGCTTTCAAGGTCAAGTCAGGGAACCCAACTCCAGCCTGTCTCCAAGTTGAGGTCACTGGAAAGTTCTGAGAACTGACCACGCTCTCCATCCACCCTCTGTGCCTGCCTGTGGGTGCTAGGCAAAGAACTTTGCCCAGGCCCAGAGACAGGACAGCTGGATTATATCCCAATGTGGTTAGGAATCAGCGAGCAACCATTTCTGTTCTCCTGAGAGTGGGGGCATCTATACTTTGCCACTGTGACACATGGAACAACCATGCCTGTCCCTAAAGTGACCCAAGAGAAGAAACTTTTTTCCTTGGCTGGGGTTTACTGTCTGCCTGTGAGTCTAGAGAAGCATGGCTGTCTCAGCATGAAGTGGGGAGCAGAAAGGGTAGGAGGGATGTTCCAAAGGAAATGTCCAGGTGAAACTAATGTCAGGCAGTGTTTTGAGCACCTATTATGCACCTGGCATGGGGCTGTCACATACTTCATGTATCATCTCRTGTTCCTCATAAGAGCCTTATAAGGTAGACGTAGGGATTTTTATCCCATTTTATAGGTGAGAGGGTTGTGGGTGCAAAGTTGTATACTTCTGCAGGACTCAGAAAGTGAACATGATGGGATTTGAACCAGGTCAGTCTGAACCCCAACTGTGAGTCACATTTCAGTTGGCAGGAATGAAGCTGCCAACATGGACAGCCAAAGGCCAACTTTTCAGTCCCCGATTACAGTTCATGATGCAAAACCTCCTGCATGCTCCACCCCAAACAATTCTGTGCTTCCTCTCTCCTGATCCCATTTCCAATGGGTCCCCCTCAAAATCAAACTTCCCAACCTGCTCTCCAAGGTTCACGACCTTTGGAAAATCAGCCCTGATACTTTTGCTGCCCTTTGGCAGAGGATCTTCTCCTCCCTTGGGAAAGTTTTTGAGGCCACAGCAGTAGTCTCGTTCTTCCATATTCCAAGGGCCTCACAGCTATCAAGGAGGCAGGGTCTTTCTCATACCCTTCTTCATCTKCTAGATCATTACCCTTGCATAAAAACCCCTCCATGCATTTCAGGCCAGTGGGCCCTACCACCTCACCTCCAGTTTCTGGCCCCACAAACTACCCACCCTTTTTTCCAAGGCCTTTGGATAGTTCTGCCTCATATGCTCTTCTAATGACTGCCATCAGGGGAGCTTTGAAATCCACAGAGACAGCAAATCTAAAAGCCAGGCCTTGCGGTTCCTCTTTCATCACCAATAATCCTGTCCACTCACTAAATTCCTGAGATCCATTCCTGAGATCACACCCTCAGCCTGTCCTTAGTCTTGCTGGTACCCCTTTGAAATCTTGATTCTGACCACCTCAGCTCTTTCAGAAGCCACCAATACAGCTCCAACTCCGCCAGGATTCCCTCCTTTTGACTAGTTCCTTCCAGTCTATTAGCAGCCTCCTCTCTTTAATTCCTGCCTTCTGCAGACCATGTCACATGGCCCTTTGATGATAGTAATTCTTCTTTTCCATGATGTGCTGCTGCCTGTGACTGAAAAACCCCAGTGCTAAATTAAGCCAATCATTGCTGTCTCTGTGCCTGTATTTGGGGTTGCTGAAAAAAATAAAAATAAAAATCACAAGCCACATAGAAAATGGGCACTATGAATCTGTAATAGAGCTAACAGCAATAGCTGGGTGCTTAGCTATGCTTGGTACAAGGATTATTTCATGTTCAGAACAACTCACATGGTAGCTATTAATATTATTCTCACCTGCACAGGGAAGAAGGTGAGTCTGTGAGAAGTTCAGAACATGCCTAGTGTCACAGAGTTGGGAGAATGACTTAGCCTGGATTCACATACAGGACGGCTGGTGGCCCAGAGACTGGGCTATGGTGTCACCCAGCATGACCTACCTCCACTGGCCCTTGGTCTTGCCCATACCTAGCTGGCTGTTTCTCTGGGAAGCTATCATTCTCCACAGTGCAATTTTAAACCTTCTTCACTCTCCTCAAACCACTGACGGCCCTGACTTTCCCCTTATTCTCAGCAGATGACTGTGTTTCCTAATTACAGGGAAAATGGAAGCCATTGGGCCATGTTGCTTGTTCTCATTCCACAAAATGTTCACACTTACCTGCATCTGCCGTCTTCCTTGCTTTCCTCCTGTTACAATGTGATATTTTCAAAAACAAACAAAAAAAAAAAGACACAAATAACAGTCATGTTTTCTCTAAGGGGAGAATGAAACCATTTTATTTAAGGGAATGTTAAAACAAAGCCATATACAATTTGTAACAAATACAATTGTTTGTTCCCTAGTTCTGAATAATTACAGTATATACAAATTCTTAAGGCACTGGTTCCCCYGAAGAACACAAATGAGTCTTCTTCTGAAACAGACAGACAACAAAACCCCTCTATATTCCCAACTTTTCTCCCCCAAACATGGCATTGTTGTGTTTGTTTTGTGAGAGGAATACTTGCTAAACTAAATCGCTTTTGATGCTACTCCTTTCATTCTCACTGCTATGGGACAGTTTCCTGAGGAGATATTAGGACTGAACAAACTCAAGTGTGGAAGACTCTCCTCTCTCTGCCTTCCAAGGAGCCAGGATGGGCCCCACATGAAACTCCAAAAGAAAACGCATGACCCTAGGAGCACGCAATTCGGCCATTAATTAAGTACATGCTATACTTGACTACACACCAATTGAAATGCAGAATCCAAAAATTCCCTTTAAATAAAACCCCAGCATGTTTTCTAAGAAGATTTCTTTTGGGGAATAAAAAGAATTGTCGCGAGTGACTCTTGAGCAGCGCTTCCAGGTCAAAGGCAGGTCTCCTCATACATGATGCTCAGAGCACTTCACTGGTGAGTTAACAATCTTATATGCTTTCATAAATAAATATTATGTTTCATTTAGTACTTTATCATCCATAATATTTTACTCTCTAATCCACATAATGGAGTTGTGCCAGACTCCAGACTGAACATAATATTTATATATACATCTATATTTATAATAATATGTACACACATACATAAGCTATAAACCTGAACGTCTTAGCATACAAAGCTTATCTAACAACTAATAATTTAGAATTCCTTTGGGACAGAGGGGTTAGAAGAAAATAAGCAATCAACTACATGACTGTCAGGTTCTCACTCGTTCAATTGAAAGACAAAACAAAATAATAATAATAAAAATAAAATTCACTTAGCTGCTAGAAATTTAAAAACTATAAAGGATTATTGGGAGCTGAGTAGGTAGTCTTCAAGAACAATTTAGTATTACCTAAGAAAAGTATATTTTGGTAAGATACCGAGGGGGGAAAAAAAATCTATTCATAAACAAATTCTTGTTTCACTGAAATACTATCATAGCTATGTGGGTATTTTTAAATATTTCAGGAATCATTTTCAAATTTTCATAGTAAATAAATCAGGTTGGGGATTATAAAGTAAGCTATCGGTTTTCCCCAAAGCAACCAAATGAACAACAAAGAAGAAATTTGGACACTCTTTGAATTTCCTTCTATCCACTGGAACCCTAGAAATCTCGTTTACTTTTAAATCATAACCTCTCCACAAAATTTTCTCATTTGAAGTTATTCATGTTCAAGAAAAAGACATCACAGTTTTATCTAAGAGGTGAACCCAACCTCACTTACATTTAGGGAAACCCAAGAAAAAAACACTATGCCCTGCTTAACTGGCAAAAATGCTTACTTACTTGCTTGTAGATGATCTGATTAGAGGCACCAAAGTTTCTCTCCAAGGCTCAGGTGATCATCACACTTAGTTCTAACCTTGTATTCCTTCTAAACTATCACAAAAAAATATAATTTGACACAACAGACACGAACCTTTACATTGCTATTGAGGTTACTTTAATATCAGTAAGCAGCCTTCTGACTACAATTATATTTGGTACCAATTGTTTTTACTCCTAAGTTTTTTTCAAACTCAAGGATTCAGAAATTGTTCTGAGTGAAAAACAAAACGTTGCTATGAAGAAACCCAGGGAAATGAATGCAGAATGGAGAGTGCTGCATGTCTCATGATTTTCCTAAACCGAAAGCAGTCTCCCATGCACTCATTGCTTCAGAGTGTTCTCTGGATGAACAAGACACCAGCTACAGGTCTACTTTAGAAGTGAGAAAAATATTTTCTCATTTTTCATGCAGCTGTCAATTTTTCAAAAACTTTCCATCCTTCAGTCACCCGCTGAAAATGCATTAGAAAACACTGCCCCCTGGAGTATTCTGGAAGGAATGTCTTTTTTAAACACCAAGGGGGAAGTGCTGACTTTTTTTTTTTTTTTTTTTTTTAACTAACTACTAAAGAAGCAAAGGAAAACCACTGTAAGGAAATGAAATGAAAAAAAAATGAGAACAGTGTGCACAGTTTAAAACTATAAGATTCTTGTTGCTAGGGAATATTGGCACTGTCGATAATTTTATTCCTATTGCTCAAAAGTTAAAATGGAGAAATATTTTACGCAAGTATTACAGAGCAGAAAAACAATAATAAATTAGATAGTGAATTGAACATCACAAGAATAAAGTGAGCCAGTGATCTTAAGATGTGAAATGATCATTGAAGATGCCCATGTTAGAACCATATCTATTCTAGCAWAATAAATCACAGCAGCCATAATATCTTGTGGTCTCCACTAACTCTCTTCTGCTATTCTATCTGAAGGTTATATTTATCTATTTTTAAATTAAAGTTTAATGAAATTAACCAGACAGATGCTTCCCCTCTATCTCTTAATTCAGATAAGAAAAAAGAACAAAAATAAACCATCCTTAACCATACAAAATAAGATGTGCATACTTCTTTCCTTGTGCTTCTGAGATAGGCTCCTTTGCACATATGAGAAACAAGTCATCTGCACCTTCAGYGTCCTCCCTACCTTGCTGACATGTTCTTACAACACAATAGCAAATTATTTTAGAGTACCTTGTCTTTAACACAACTCATGGCCATTTTATTTAATATTGATCTTTCTATTTGAGAGATCAAAAGCATGCACAGGTCAATTCTCTGCACATGAGAAAAAGCTTTGCTTGTGTTTAATGAAAAGGAGGGGATTTCACCATGAAAGAACAGCCGAACACAATCAGAGACAGAAGTGGTTCTGAAGAACACCCATCAACACTTCTATTACAGACACATAAAACCTTCATTTGTTCCATGTTGTCTGAAGCTGCAAAAGGCCACCTGCAGGAATTCCAAAACATGTTCCCAGAAAGGTAGAACTTGTGCCCACATGCATTCACATTGTTGTGGCAGCCCCAAATGCAGGGCTGGCCAAAGTGGTAGGAGGAGGCCAGGTTGGAGGAGGCCAGGTTGGGGGTTATCTTAAGATGAGTTCCATTCTATGTTCTCCAATTTCACAGACGGTCTTTTGTTAGAGTGCAACATATTCTACCAATGGAAAAACATATATTTTAATTTACCTTCCAACACAGTTTCTGGGAAGAACTTTTGTTATCATTAAACTATAATAGTATAAACCTTAAAACATATACAATATTTGTTTTATTTTGGCAAAATTAAAGCATCTTTTTTTAAAAAAATGGCAATCCCAACATACAGGGCTTTCTTAGAAAGCAACATGCATCGTATCTTGAATAAGTTACCCAAGCGGTTTCTCCCTCCTACAAACAGACACAGAGGAATCTGTGGTTSTGGGAACTTCTCTACTCTATGTCCAGGCTGCTCCCTGAGAGGTAAGGTCTGAACCCACCAAGAAGCAGGACAACATTCGAGGCTTGGACTGCAGATGCTTCTTTAACACCTTTTGCTCTGCCCACAGCAGACGAGTATCTATTGGCCTTCGGCGGAGATGCTTCCTTTACCCTCATATCAGAGTTTAATGTCCTGAGACTCTGACATTTTTGCAAGTGTCTTCTTAACACGCAGGGCTGTCAGCCTTGATGCAGGATTGTGAGCCCAGCACTCTGTCATGAGTTTCCCCATCTGCCTTAGACACTGTGAAAAAGAGGAGGAATGTTGGAATAATGTTTAAGAAATATATTATCTGCAAAGCTGGCACTTGATATTTGTCTTTCAGTTTTGGGTTCATAAAATCTGAAAATAATTTTTAGATGTACCCTTAAAACTACATAGTAACAAAATTCCATTAAAATTCCTTCTTATGTAAAATGATAATCACTCAAAAAGATTTTCAGGTCTTTCTTGAAATAGGAGCAAGCAAATGTTTTGCTGATGGTACAGTACAGGGTCTATTTGAAGAAGTTTTGAATATTAAGCAAATATACAGACACCAAGGAAGTCTGTGTTCTATACCACACTCCCAGATTGTTTATAAACTTGATAAGTTTAAGTATTTCATCTAATTTTATAATATTCAAACAAACATGGTTATTCCTAAACCACAGTTGCCTGCTACGATATTAGCATCACACTGTACCATTTAACAAGATTAATGACCTGTGCACAGCATCACTAAAACTTTCTCCTGTGTTCTCCCATGCTACATCAATCATTGGTCTTCTTATTGAAAAGCACAATTTCACTTCATCAGAAATACTTAGTGAAGGGATTCCAAATAACATTGACACCCACAACTACCTTTGAAATAATGTAACTCCAACATTTCAAAATGCTTTCTGCACAGTTCATTGGAAAACATTTATATTATTTATCATTTCAGTGACTACATGCAAAGCCAATAAAACAAAGATTATTTTTCTAAGAATTTTACACTGAACAATTAGTTCATAGATAGTACTCTGCCTGCTTGATTGCATGGGGTTTGGTTCAATTTTGATAAGAGTCTCTTTTATTTCTCTGGGTGTACTTCAAATTCATCTCCAATGTTCCAGCATGCTGGAGAACTCCAGGGCTTGGATGAGTCGAAGGCACAGTGAGTGAAGGAAGCACGAGGAACAGAGGAAACAGAGTCAGAAAGGCATGTCCTGCCCAATTCACTTTGTCCTTTCTGTTAGCTCCTTTCCAGAAACATCTGGGTTTTACCAGTAAGCCCTCAGAGCCAAACTGAATATGGATTTGTTCAAATCATATCTCATCATCCTTATTAACAAAGACTCTCGGTCAGGCAGCTCAACTAGAACAACTTGTACCACTTCACTGTACAGAAAACTCAGCTCTTCAGATACCTGCCTTTTCTCTCATCCAAATGGCAGAAAGCTATTTCTGGGTTTGTTATGAAGAAAAATCACGATGCTTAAAGTATATTCATAAAAACAAATAATAGCCTTTAGGCAAATATCAAGACTTCATAAATAAATGATATAATGTTATCTATTTTGTAGGCTCAATGTTGACCCACCCAATATATTCTGGAAGTGGCAAAATAAAATTGGAAGAAATGAACGGAAGATTCAGCACACTACACATAGCTCCATATAAATTATTGAAGTAAGGCAGCATTATCATCATCATCAAAACAAAGAAGAATGACATTAAGGGAATACTTGGAATTAGAGGAAAAGTCTGTTGAGACGACCATGGAACACACAGTGACCTCAGGCCTTACCTCATCACTGCTCCAGCGATTGGGGAATGAGGGCCGTGACTTCTTGATGCACACAATCTCTCTCATGTCCTCGTAAGAGGGGTCRGTGGGCACCAGGTCGTGATAGGGAAGCTGGTATTCTTCCACTATACCTGAAAATATGTTTTCAGTACTATTATTTTCTGTAAAGTGGGGGGGAAAAAACTCTTAACAGACAAACTGTTCTCGAAGAAAATTACTATCAATTTTAAATACAAGTTTAGGCYAACAAACAACAATAGATCTTGGGGRTGGGAGGRAAMCYTAWYCMAAWKRWT